GGAGGCAATGGATGAGGTCCTGGCGCTGGCAGAGCTCCAGCACCACCTTTACTGCTTACATTTTCAGAGCATTGTCCAGGCACTAAAAAACAGGTAGCTCCCAGTGGCATGGAGATTCAACAGAGCACCATAATACAGGCCAACTAGCTGCATTTATTTAGTGCCTGCATACTAAGAGACACTACAGACGCCTAATGCAAACCTCAACTTTTCTGTTAAACACTTACCTAGACATCACGTGCCCTTTTGTAAGGTTGCTTTTGCTGTCTCTATTTGGAGAAGACAGAAAACATTACATAATTTTTTAGTCTTATTATTTTTTCCTGTATTCCTGTAACATAGATTAAAAAAATAAAACCAGCAGCAAAAATCAAATAAAGCAATACTGAATTTACCAAATCCCCAGCAGCCAAATGGATGAATCACTAATAGGGATAGGTGTTGCATTTTCATGCATCCAGGTTGGATGATGCAGGGTAGAGTCCATCAGTCTCTTCTGGAAAGAATCCGCAGGTCACTTCTTGCAGTGTTACCACATTGGTTTTCATTTACAAGCAAATAAAAAAGTGCTTATATTTTTAATATTTGTTTATTGTTTTCTCTTCCATATTCCCATTTGTTGGCTTGTTCCCATGTGTATATGCTTCTTGAGTCTCCCATTCATTTATTCCCTCTGTAATTTACTAGTGTTGTCACTTTGTGAACCATCTCCTCATGCTTTTCGGGCTCAGCAGGAGAAGCTCTGGCTGAGGCCAGGCTCCCATTTGGAGGTTGGAGTATGGCATCTCCAGCTGGACACAGGTACTGAGAAGGGGCACATGTGCAGGGGCTGTCGGTTCCTGTCCATGGCCTCTGCAGTTGTGCCTATTTCTGAAGGTCTGTGTGGAAGAAGCTTTTTGTGGATCATTCATGTCTCTTCAATGTTATGGGCATTTTGGTACCAAAGGGGTCCATTTTATCTCTGTGGACACTTACACTTGAAAAAGGTCCAGGCTGCAGCAGGTGGAGGCTGCACTGATCTGAGGTGCACCCATGACTCATTGGGAGGGTTTTGTTGGTGGCAAGTGTTTCATTGGTTTTGTTGACTTCCTCAGGCAAATTTGACTTCAGAGCCTATTTTGTTGCTGTCAGCATCCTTCATTAGCATTTTCCATCTCACTGTGGAGATACAGATATAGATACAGATATAAAGATGTCCTTTCATTGCCTCTCACATGTAAACATGCTGGGGTACTTCTTCCAAGGGGACTTTTATGTATTTATAAATTGAGGTCACTGTGGTGCAAGTGGTTACTTGAGTGCAGCATGCTCGCAGCTGCCGCTTTATTTATACACAGGGCTACATTACTGCATCTGCCGAAGGGCAAGTAGCTGAGGCTTCTCGTGCCACTCAGACAAAAAGCATGTGAAGTGATCAACAGAGCAAGAGCTGCTTGTGACAGCCTTTAAGGAAGCTGAAACGTTGTGGAAATTTATTAGAGGGTGCCTATGTGTCCAAACTGCAGCCAGCTAGAGCAGCCTGGCTGAAGAGCAGGATGTTTTCACTCTAGATATGGGCACAGTGCTGCAGGGCAGCTTCCCCGCTGTATAAACACGAAGGGCTTTGGGAAGCTGTTGGGAAGAGGAAATGATGGCTGTAGATTGGGCACATCACCACTATGTGTGATGTGCATCTCAGAGCAGCTGGGGAGCACTGGCTCAACAGAATTGATCAGAAGAGTCAGCTGCCTGCAGCCGGGCAGTAGGACCAAAGTCTTTCAAGCAACACCAGAGAGATGATGAACTTACAAAACCCCATCATCAGATGTTTATGCATGTCAGCAACACGTTCTTTTCAAATCCTTCCAACATGCTTCCCCTGCACTGTTTAAACAATATTCTGGTTGAGGAGGCCTTTGACTGGTAGCTGGGGGATACCAGCAGAACCATAGATGTGAAAACCTGGTCAGGTTTGCTGTGCAAACCATGGCTCATTCATAGACAAGATGCTGCAGCCCTGGTCCTGTCCTGTTGGTGGGAGAATTGCACAGAAAAGTCCAAAGAGAGACAAAGCAGGAAATCTGGCACCCCGACATGAGTGTATGTGGGGCTGGGTGCAGGGCAGCATGGGGATGCAGACCCATAGCAGCTGCATGAGGGCGGTGTGGCCCCAGCATTGTGCTGACTCCCAAGATGGCTGGGATAAATCAGCAAAGTTGACAACTGAACAGGGAAGTCCTGGTGGGAAAGACATCCTTGACATTATTATGAAGTCTCTGGAGGCTCCAGCTCAACCTGCTGGGGCAGAGCAGAGAATTGCTATTTGTATGGTGTCCCATATGCTATGATGACTGGTTTGTATTTTATTAAATCAGAGCTGCCAGCGTCTGGGGTGGAAGCATCAGGATGTTTACTGTCTTGGCAGCACTGAGACCAAGCTCACCCCGTTATGTTGTACTACTGCAGGGTGCAGCATGGCCCTGAATCTGGGGCTGCCAGGCACAGCTGGAAAGGAGAGCTGAGAGCCTACAGCCCCAGGGAATTACAGTTAGGGCTTATGTTTAGCATCACTGTTTTCAAGTAACCATAAAAAGAAACGTTTGTAACATTTTGGGGCCTGAGCAGGAATACTGGCTCCATTGAAATCAGCAGCATAACTCCCCCTGAATTCCTCACAGACAAGATTTAACTCTCTTAGCATGAAGGAGCTCAGGGTTATTGATTTTCTCACTGTGATTGTCTTTGCTAGAACTGCAAGCACCAGTCACATGCATTAAACAGGGATAGATAAACAAGAAAAACTGAAAATGATGAAAGTCTGCAGCTGCATCCAGCATAAAGCATTCCCATTAATGTATCTCCTTCACTGCTCTCATCTAAATCAGGACAAAGAACTCTCTGAGATGCAATTTATCTAATAACAAGAAACCCAAAATACTAGTTTTTACTGAAAAGTCTCAGCCTGGCATTTTCCATCATCTCCATTAAAGGGAAATCAATGTCTCCAGTTTGGATGTTTCCCAAGGAATTTTCTTTCCATATCTGAAAGCATCTTGTGTTCACAAAGCCACCAATGAGTAAATGTGACAGAATGACACTGATTTAAATTTGGTAAATAACATGTCCTGGGGAGAGATGCGGGACCTAATAGTTGGGCTTGTTTGGATTTCTGTTCATATCTGCTTGATACTTTTATTTTAAGGAAGCAGAATGGTTTTGTACTTTCCTGAAGGAGAGGGGAAAAAAAAACCTCAACTTTTGAAATGTATTAATACCCCTCATTACGCTCAACACTTCTGCACAAGGGGCGTACTGCTCACCAGCCTTGTCCTCTGACCACCTCTCCTGGTTAACCTTCTCCCTTATCTACATCTTTCTGGCAAAAGATGCTCAAATGCCTTCGGAAGGGAGCATTTGCAGGATGCAGCATGGGGCTTGCAGCACAATGTGCTTGACAGTGCACAGTGCCCAGCACCAGCATGCCTGAGCCCCGCTGTCACTGGCGCTTGGTCGCATCTGTGCTTGGCAAGCTGACGGGACACGCAAAAGCATGCTGCCACCATTCAGCTCCAAAACGAGCTCTAAATCTCCTTCCAGGCTGGGACAAAGCTTCCTCCAGCTGGATCTTGGCAGCTCTGGAAGAAAACCAGGTCCCAGCCAAGAGCAATGCCAGCAGTGATGGGGCTGGCGGCGGTGGCAGCTGGCAGGCAAAGCCCACAGGCAGGCGAGCTGGTAGTGCTAGGGTTATTGTTTCCAGGATCCCTGAATCCTAGTGAAATAAAAGGGCAGCCTTCATCAGCTGAAGCATATCAGCCACATCCTTGTGAGAAGCAGATCTGGGGAGAGGAGGCTTTGATCCCCATAAGCAGTGCTGGCAGGCTCACATGCTGCCTCTTGCTGGGCACTCCACAGCACCTCCTGGCAGAGAAGGACGGCCACCCTTTGCTACCGCACACCGCCTTGCTGTCTGTGGGAAACGGGCTGGCTCTTCAGGTGGCATGGGTGGCTCTCAGCAGGGCAGTTTGAAGAGTTTTTAAGCTGCTGCTGGGAGCTGTGCACTGAGCTTTCAGGCTGCATCCCACCCTCACTCACTGAGTGACTGGCTGAATGTGGCTCTAAATCTCGTAGCTCATGAAGCCTTCAGTGGCTGTTCAGTAAAGGGCTGTTTAACTATTTAGAAAGTGTCACTCTAAGTTGAATGTCCTGTTAACTAATACAAGTGTCATAAATGTGTCGGTTTATGCCAGCAGTGGTTATATGAAATATAAGCTGTTTCTGACATCTCACTGTAGGCAGCTAGACCAACAACTTTCAAATAAACCTCTTCAATAATATTGGTTATTTTTATCTAGTGCTCTCAATTTTCATCTTGACCCAATATTTACCTATACAATCAGACCAAAGTTAAAATAAAGACTGACTGATAAGTATTTGTTTAATTTTAAGAAGCCCCCCGCTTTTCTTTCCTTCTTATCTCAGTTTTCTGACTATTGGCTTGCTGTCACTAATTGAATTGCCACACCTAATCACTTTTCCACTAGGAAGCAGCCTGGGACTGATAGGAGTCAAATATTTGGAGGTCTGGGCTTTATCTGTTGAAACTACACCCATCCTGGGGGAGGGAAGCTTAGTGAAGATAACCTGAGCCTCCACCTGAGCATCACCTGAAGGACTGCTGGTCCCTGCGCTGGGCCATGGCATGTACCAGTGGCACTAACCTCTGCTTTAAGTTAATGGTGAAACATCACTCTGTGATATTTCTCTGTGATACTCTGTTAATATCACCTGTAGAGTACAGACTTCATGTGTAAAGGGATATAGAGTGACACAGGGGGGTCATTTTGCCCACAGCAGGGTGGAGATGGATTTGCTGCTCCTGCTTCTTGCAGAGGCAGAAGAGCAAATGAGAACCTGGTGCATGCCCCCAGGGGATGCTCCCATTGCCATTCCACCCCCTTGGATCACGGTGGGGCTGGCTGACATTCTCCTTTCTGCTTCTCTTGCTGCATTTCTCTGCACAGGTGATATATCGAGCCCTGTCACCACCATATGCTGTGGAGGACCCGTACAGCGCAGAAGCCCAGGCACAGCTGAAGATCACCAACCTGCGGGTGCAGCTGCTGGAGCGGCAGGGCTGCCCCTGCCTCCTGCCCGGCCCGGCACCCCGGGTCCCACAGCCCTCCCCGGCCCTGCACTACGCCATCTATGACTTCATCGTGAAGGGCAGCTGCTTCTGCAATGGCCATGCTGACCACTGCGTCCCTGTCGCTGGGTTCAAGCCCATCAAGGCAGCTGGTGTTTTCCAAGTGGTATGTACCTGTGCACAACAATGTCTGCACTGCAGGAAAGCAGGGTCTTAAAAATAGTGGGGACAGTATAGAGTATGATATAGGTCCAAGTATGCATTATTTGACATGTGAGGCCCTGAATTCAAACTCACTGAACAAATGCGGTCTTTACAAAGGAAGTGGTCTCCATGTCAGACTGAAGCACTGGGCTTCCTTTGTGCCTTGGTGTGAGGTCCACCAGGAGCCTTATCCTTCAAGAGTGCTCCACAGTAATTTGCAATAACACAATAGGTAAAATATTATAAATGTAGGGCATTTTGATGATTAAGAAGGAGGTGAGCTTCTCTGAAGGCACTGCACGTCTTGTGTCCATATCCTCAGATACTGGATTGGGTCCTGAAGCAAAAGGCCAGAGAGCTGGGCTTTGGCTCTCACTCCCAGGCTTTTCTGTTGGACTTTGCAGTACCTATCTCCAGATAAAAGCCCTGTGCTCCATTTTTGAGGGGACTCCCATCACAGAAGCTCTGAGCTCAAATCCCTTGGGACCCACCAACACCTAAACCCCAGTCCTCCTATGTCCTAAAAAAGTGAGGGCCATTAATCCCTTGGGGAGGTGATGGGCACAGCAGCAGCTGACACGTTGGATGCCTGCAGCATGGCATGCCTGCTCCCTGCCAGTCTGGGACACAAAATGCCCCCAACACATCTTGTCCTTTCTGGCCATCTTGGCTGGCTCTGAAAGTCCTGGCTTTTCTGGCAAAGGAGCAGAGGGAAAGCCAGGGCAGTCAAACATACTGTGCTGAATAATGTTAGAAAGGAAAAGATCATAAAAAACCCATAAGGCAGTTATTTGAGGTAAGGAGGTCTGGCATCCATCCAGCTCTTCAGGGAACTGTTATTTTGCTTAAATTATGGTCTCAGGCATGAAGCAGACAGCATGTTTCCCTTCTAATAGGGCTAGTCTTGCAACATCTTGAAAATACACCAATTTGAAAGCATGCAGTGCTATGATTGATAAGGTTGTTTCAAGGAGCACTGTTCTGCTTTCCACAAATGTTCCCTGAGTGCAAGCCTTTGAAAGGAGCTGTTTGCTCAGGATTATTTCAGTGGGATACAATTGCATGGGAGCATGCCCCAGAGAGTTGTAACAGAGCCCACAGCCAAACACGCTTCCAGTATGGCTATAGCCTATGGAAACCATAGCGCACAGGTAACAGGCAGGGCTGTGGGAAGGAGTCAAGTGCCAAAATCATACTGAAAACCAAAGCAAGAAGTAGTAACAAGCCGCTGTGCCGGCCCCTGAGGGACTGAAGTTCAACTCCGGTTATAAACACATATGTGGCAGGAATCCCAAAGGTGACGTTTCTGCAGTGAAGCTGACTCATTTAACTGTGCCTTACAGCTTATTCCACGTCCCATAAGGGCTGTGCCGGTGTAGGAATGACATAGCCCCAGGGTTTGCAGGAAGGGTGAGGGAGTGGTAAGATGTTTCATCTCCCAGTACCACTTTTTCCATCATAGGACTGAGGGAGCTGGAACTCAGCCTGGTCTGTGCCAGGCTCCTGCCTGATGCAAGGCTGCTGTGATTCAGGGACTGCAGTAACACCCCACTTGTGTACACTAGTAGGGGTTTGCTAGTGCATTGCTTGAAGATGAGAAGAGAGGATTATTTCCAAGATGAAAGCAATACACGTGTGTGTGTGTGAGCAGAAAAGGGATGAAAGATTGTGGGGTCTGTGGCTGCTTAACTGGAAAAGTCAGAGAAACTTCTGAAAAGAGAGCGGGCTTTCAGAAAAGGAGCCCTTTTTGTACTTGGCAGTAAAAAGTCACCTAGAAGATACTTCTGAAGAATTACAGTCAGTCATTCAAGTGTGAGATGGGGACTTCAGTCTTGCCTTTATATAACTGTATCCATATGGGGTTTTAGCAGAACCTTCTCTTTAAAACCAAGGAAAACAAAAGCTGGGAAGCACATTACCATTTCACAATATGATTATAAAATCTGGCTGTTTCTATGCTTGTTTAGACCTGAGCACACTTGAAGAATACTCCTTGATTAAGAATGTTAACATCAAAATTTAAGCAAGTTTAAGATACTTAAAAGAACAAATCAAAACAAAACAAAAAAAAACCAAAAAACAACCCTAAACAAACCCTTTTCCAAAAACTAAGTTTTCTTAACCCCCTATTTGGTCTCAGCCCACAGACAAAATCATAACTTCAGGCTTAGTTTTAGTCTCTCCTTGGCCAGTGGAAGACCCAGACATGTTTCTCTTTGTGGCAGTCACTGTGTGGGTACCACAGAGCAAAGCTTGCCAGCAATTCCCCTGCTCGCCCTTTCTCCTGAAGGAGAAAGTAATTTATGTAGGAAAGCTCTGGGTTCTGATTTTAGCATCAGAAATGCCATGTCAGCCTTTAGGTGAACTCTGAATATACAGGTGTAGCTCCTATGTCTCCATGAGCTTCAGGGCAAGACTACAGAGAAGACCTGACTATCTTCCAGCAATGGGAAGGGCTGCTCCTTGTGGGTACTGTGGTCCCATGTTACACACTGATATGGGACAGCTATCAGGATGATACAGATACACTTCCTTCTCTTCCCTGCTTCTCCCAGATTTGTTCAAAAGATCACTACCCTAATCTCATCAACAGCCTAATGCATGCCACAGAAAAAATGTGCATAGACAGACGTACCTCACACTGTGCCATGCAAAGCAGTTGGACCAGTTTGTGAGCTGCATTATGTGGCAAACCACCCATGCAAGTAGAGAAATGGATTCACATTCACCAGACGTTGCTCCTGATCTTCAGTGTCCATGAGAAGACTGTATTTTCTGGCTGATCTGTAGCATAGGAGCTTCTCACCCCTTGCCAGTATCTCTGTGCATGGAGTTGCTGCTGTGTGTGCTTGGTCCCTCACCAGCTAAAGCATCCACATGGCCTGTTGTGTCATGAAAGAGGAGATCAGCCTGGAGATATGTAGGGTCTTGAACTTTAGGACTCCAGTGTGAGGAAAGCAAACACAGGGATACTTCTTGTCAGCTGTGTAGCTCCGCCTCAAGCTAAGGGCAGGACTTCATCTGTCTCAGGGACTCCTTGTCCCTCCCTGACTGCAGAATCCTGCAACAGCTCAGTTGAAGGTTCGCCTAAACTATCAGTCTTAGAGAGCTGTGGCCTTACTGTGGCTTCCTGCTTTTACACCTGTGAGATGAGATCAGGCTATCAAGGGATGACTTCATTATCTCACTGATAATCCAGTATTATCAACTATCTAATGTTTCCCGCTCTGTCCTTCTTTTCCTCTCTTGCACTCCTCCTAGTGCAACCCCATCTGCGCATCTTTCACCTGTATTGAGCAGAGTGAGAACATAAGAAGTGGTATGGGTTTGTTCATCCTCTTGTTCTATTTTTCCCTCAATGTCAGTTTAGATAACATGATACAGCAGCTCTCTTTGCTCTGAAAAAAGGAAGTGGGAAATTAGAACTTACTTCTACCTTCAATGAAACTTTCTATGGACTTAAGACACATGCCCAAAGCAGTTTGGTGTGGTGCTGCTGTCGTACTGAAATGGTACTGCTGCAATTACACTTACACACTTCTTTAATAGTCCAAGGTGCTGTGTCAATGCAAGCCAAGGACTTTTCCAGGAACTGTTCTTTATTTTCTGGCTGAACAGACAAATCGGTTCAGGAACCTGATCAGTGAATGAATGCATCTGAACTTGGTTACTGACAGCTGCCTGACAATGAGACACCAAACCCCAGATATACCTTACCTAATTTTAGGCATGCATTTGATGTACCCTGGTTAGCCAGCTGATTTCCTCAAGCTCCTTCCGTAGTTATGAAGGGGTGGAGGGATACAGGATGATTTGGATCCCAGGTAGACAGAGACACTGTGCTAAAGCACTTCTGTATAGTCAGACAGGGTGAATCTGCCTCCCCCTTCCAATGTGGCCAACCCAGTAGCTGTTATAAATAGTTATCATGCTACTGACATCAAAAGGTGCTGAAGGTCTTCTCCAGCACCACTGACAGAAGCCTATTGTGCAAGGCATAGAAAAAGCCCACCAGACAGCTCCCACACCCTGGACAAGCTTTGTGTTCTTTCACAAGAACAAGATAGGATATGAGAATTTCCTCATACATAAATTTGGTTGTATGGTGCTTTGGGAAAGAATACCTCCCCACATGCTGACAGCAGCCAGTAGGCATTGGTTCTAAAACTGGCACAGTGGCTCAGGTGCAACACAGTTTAAAAGCTGTCGTTAGAAACACAGCATGAATGACGTGATTTTCCTTTAGGCTGGTATTATGTTCATTTTCCAGGAAAGTAAAAAAAAAATAGAGAAAATACGGTTTTAGTAGTTCCAAGAAAGAAATGCTATTAAAAGCAGTTGCCCCTCCCAGCTATTTAGCCTATTTACGCTTGGGGACATCGATTTTCTTTTAGTGTGCATTTGTTTTGGACTCTATATAGTGGGTGAGTTCTTTCAATGAAAACCTATTCATAACAGGTGGCTGAAAGCATTTTTGCCTCGATGCAGGATTTCTTCTCACTGCCCAACATTTTGGAACATGATAAATAGGGGGGAAAGTATTTTATAGCATTTGACTAAAAGAAAAAACCCTATGTATTTGCAATCTGAAAGGAAGCATTGGAAGGTTATAATTCAGCAACAAAAGGCTCTGGAAGGAAGCATGCCTTAGCAACTGTCTTTGTATAGAGAAATCAGCCGCTCGTTCATCTTACAGAAGTCAACTTTTGTAACACTGTTTGCATTGTGCCCTGTAATGACTGACGCTGCAACAGGGCTGTCGAGCTAAGAAGGGAAACAGTGTGAAAGTGAACTGGGATGTAAAGACCCCCTGACAAAATGAAAAATGGTATGAGAAGGCTTTGCCGCTTAAGTGAGTCAAGAGCCATGTGAATGCTGAAAAGGGTGAGATGTACTGGGAATTTTGTTATGTACTTAGCAATCATCTAGAATGACCCAAGTGGGTATGCCTTACAGTTAAACATAAAACAAGGTGAATGAAAAGGGAGGAAAAAGTGTGAGGGTCACATTTTGCCTTCAGAAAGGTGCTGAGATTACAGAGAAATCCCCAGGGCCAGGTCCATCATTTCCACACTCTACCTCAGGTCCCAGCAGAGCTGCTGGGCTGGTTTCTCAGCCCTGGCTCCCAACTGCTCCGTGGCACAACAGGGAATTTACAGGGCACTGCAGTCTTGTATCTGGCCCTCCCACGGCTCTTACAGGCATTAATTTTGGCTGGCGCAGACAGTCTACTGGCTGTTTTTCACTGCCGCCTTATATTACCCCATCTTCTTGTCCTGTCTTTCTCCCATTTTCAGCTGTCACAGTATTATAATTAAAAAAATACCTGTCTGCCTATGGGCTGCAAGAAAGAGCTTGCTAATATTCACCTTCTTTTGTTGTTTCCAATGCACAAAAATCCTTTCTGTCATCCTGGAATTATTAGGAGAAAAGAGATTTTCTTCAATGGGATAAAGCTAGGATGGAGAAATATTTTAAAGCAGAGCTGTTTTCGTTATTTAGAGGGGTAACCATTATAATGCTATTGAAAGGGAATAAATACATCAGCCTGAGGCAAGGTTTTCGAAGCACTTAGGTCCGACATTCATTAAATTTCTGGGTAAAAGGAATAGGGGGAAAAGGTATTAACTGAACAGCTGCACTGAGAAACAAGTTATTAAAGACCCCGTTTCCCTCCTCTTGCTCAATTAAGGCTGGCCATTTAGCTGTTTGACTTGTTCAGTAGCAGGTCTGTGCTCCGCTCTGCCTGGCTGAAAGGGGCTGGGGTCACCAGGGGACCTGGAGCGGCCTTGTAGAGGCTGAGTTTTCTTAGGTTCCAGGCCATTTGAGTATCACTGCTGTAAAGGCACAGCACTGTGGGAACTGGGAACCCTGTTGCCTGTGCCAAAGCTTGCTCCCAAAGACTTGAGCCTCCATGGGTGCTTCTGATGCAGAAACAGGGCCAGCTGTTCCATCATGTGCTGTGCCTCTGCAGGTGTTTCTCATTCTTTTCAAACATTAGCACTCATTTAAGCATAAATAGATACAGTAAACCAGACAGACCAGCTAGTATCTGCAGTGAGACCAACTGTGATGAGGCCAAACAGCACAGAAAGAGATGTTATCTTAGTATTTGTGCTTTAGTTTAGATGCTTGAGCATTCTGTCTGACTCCATCTGTATCTGTCCATTGCTTATGCAGTCTGGTTGCTGTACTGTATTTTGTTTACTCCTGTTTTGATGATCCAGACATTTTAATAGGACAGGAAAGGATCACTTAAAAAGTTTTCAAAAGTTTCTGTTGTTTGCATTGCTGCTGAAAAGTCTTTTAAGGACTTTCTAGCTCAGGTTTAAAGTGTTATCTGTGCTGGTTACATCTGACCCCTGTGAGAGAGCAGCTGAAATCTATTCATTACAAATAAGTAAATCAGAAAGTTATCATTAGCCAGGAGTAGTGTACCTATGTAACAAGTAGGAGCTGTTTATGACATATTCAAGTTCCTCTTCTGTTTTGTTTGCTGCTCAGGTTTTTCAGAAACCTTTTTCATGGCAGGTCTCATCAGCGGTCATACAGTTAGGAATAGCACACTTGGAAAAAAGCAAGTTAAACAGAGTGGAAGGCAGCATTTTCCTGTAGCTGAAGCCATGCCCCAGCTCTGGGCTGGATCACCAGGCACCCCAACTGCCCTGTATTGCTCCTGATGCTGAAAGCAACTGGTGCAGCTTCCCAACTCCTTTGGTTTTATGACCAACCTGTGGTATAAGCTGAGGACCATGCTGGCAGGGCAGGCTGAGGTCTTTGAGCAGCAAGAGAAGCAGAACCATACTCAATTTGTTGCCTTTCTTTCTCTACCACTTTCCCTATGACTGGTGAAGGAAGGGGCACTAGGGTGGTGAGGCATCTCTCGGCTCGTTTCAGCAAACATGGGATGCTGATTGTGTTAAAGTCTGGCCATGCATCTGGAGAGACTTTTAAATGAAATGCACTTAATAAAACTGTACTTAATAGCAAAATGTCAAAGGAGTAAATCTGCAAGCACAGGCGGCCACCGAATAGCTATGGTAAATAGCTACTCCCCACACTCCACAGGAAAAGGCAGGGCCTTCAGCCTTGCCAGCAGAGCCATGCTGCTTTAGAGCTTGATTTCATTGCATCTAGGGGCTGTCGGGTTGCTCTTGCCCTCTGGCTACGTCCTGTTTTCTTTGCTTTTGCCAACAGTGTGAGTAATGCCAGCAGCTGACAGGGCAGCTGGCACTAAGTGTGCTACGCTGGCCTTTCATCTCTAATTACCCCCCCCTTACATGAGACTGTCTAGCTGTTAAATTATCTATCTGTCATGAACATGTCCCAGTATAGTCACTCATGGTCCTTGTGCTAGCCTTGGCTCTTCCTCTGTTATTCCTAGATTCTTCCCAATTGCCTAGGATGATTGGATATCTGTGTTTTTGGGGGGTTATATTTTTTTTCCTTGTACACTTATGTTGGTGATGGCAAGGCACACAAAGCTGGCTGCTGACATTGTGGGTGCTATTTCTGCAGTACTGCAAGGTGTATTCGTGTTTGGGAGGGAGAAAAAGAGAAGGGTTTTGCAGTGTTTCCCAGGCATGCTTTGAATCTTGGCCCTTTTTCTTCTCTCCTGAAAATTCATGTTTCATCTGGAAACTCTCTGCTAAAGGTCCTTTAAGTTCTCCAAAATATGATAAAGTTATGATTATACAATACCATGACATGCAGATCCACAAATACTGATCTAATTGAAAATGTAACTGCAGAATATTTGCCTTTGAATGAACTGGACGTAAAGGCAGACATCATGCTCGCCCTCTTTCTAGTCTATGTAATAGCGTCTAGCTGGCGCAGTATCTCCTGTACGTTGGCATTGCTTGTGTCCTGGAGACTCTTTGGGCTTTGCTGTAGGTGATCCTTGCTCTCTTTCCCTTACCAGGTCCATGGGAAATGCATGTGCAAGCACAACACAGCAGGATCCCACTGCCAGCACTGCGCCCCACTCTACAATGACCAGCCTTGGCAGGCTGCCGATGGCAAAACCGGAGCCCCCAGAGAGTGTCGGTGTAAGTAGCCAGCCAGGAACAGTGTCTCCAGGGCCTCTTCTGGAGCATAATGCTTCTCCTCCTGTGCCTTTCTCCTGTATTTCCAAGAGGCAGCAGATACTGTGGTGGTGGGCAGGTGCTGGCAAAACAGCTCGGTGAGTGGAGAACCAATGCCATGCTCTGCCCAGCACCCACCACATATATAGCAGAGACAGCCCTGTTTGCACAGCCCCTCACTTGGAAATCCTCACAGGACCATGCTGTCTGTTGATTCGGCCTTTCTGTGGGACCCAAGTGCATCTCCTTGGGATATGGTCTTCTGCAGTGGGCAGACTGCAGGCTGCCAGGGTGCCTTGAAAGCAACAGGCAGTCAGCATTGTCTTCTCCCTGGGCAACACTGACAGATATGTTTATGGGAGGCACGGCCTTCTCTTCCTGACATGGGCTTTGCTCACCCCCTGGGCACCGGGGGTAGAGGAAGGTGCAGTCTCTGGGGAGGTTTAGGGATTACTTCTATGGTTCTGGGCAAGATGCTCAGGATGAGTGCAGGCTGCATGGGAGTGCAGAGCTCAGGGGGCTGTCTGCTTCAGTATCAGCAGCAGACTAACCAGAAAGGCACTAAGGCTTAACTACACCACCCCAGAAAGGTTTGCAGGAATGCTGAATGCCATTGTTCCCTGGCTACAGTGCTGTCAACACTGAATCACAGAATCACAGAATCCCAAGGGTTGGAAGGGACTTCGAGAGATCACCTAGTCCAACCCCCCTGCAAGAGCAGAGTAACCTAGAGTACATCACACAGGAACTTGTCCAGGCGGGCCTTGAATATCTCCAATGTGGGAGACTCCACAACCCCCCTGGGCAACCTGTTCCAGTGCTCTGTCACTCTCACAGTAAAGAAGTTTTTCCTGATGTTAACGTGGAACCTTCTATGCTCCAGTTTACACCCATTGCCCCTTGTCCTATCACTGGATATCACTGAAAAAAGCCTAGCTCCATCATCCTGACACCCACCCGTTACATATGTGTAAACACTGATGAGGTCACCCCTCAGTCTCCTCTTCTCCAAGCTAAAGAGACCCAGCTCCCCCAGACTCTCCTCATAAGGGAGGTGTTCCTCTCCCTTAATCATCTTTGTGGCTCTGCGCTGGACTCTTTCAAGCAGTTCCCTGTCCTTCTTGAACTGAGGGGCTCAGAACTGGACGCAATATTCCAGATGCGGCCTAACCAAGGCAGAATAGAGGGGGAGGAGAACCTCTCTTGACCTACTAACCCCACCCTTTCTAATGCACCCCAGGATGCCATTTGCCTTCTTGGCCACAAGGGCACATCGCTGGCTCACGGTCATCCTCCTATCCACCAGGACCCTCAGGTCCCTTTCCCCTTCACTACTTTCCAGCAGGTCAGCCCCCAACCTGTACTGGTACATGGGGTTGTTCTTCCCCAGATGCAAGACTCTACACTTGCCCTTGTTGAATTTCATCAAATTTCTCCCCGCTCAACTCTCCAGCCTGTCCAGGTCTCCCTGGATGGCAGCACAGCCTTCTGGTGTGTCAGCCACTCCTCCCAGTTTAGTGTCATCAGCAAACTTGCTGAGAGTACACTCGGTTCCCTCATCCAGGTCGTTGATGAAAATATTAAATAGCACTGGTCCCAGCACCGACCCCTGAGTCACTCCACCAGTCACAGACCTCCAGCTAGATTCTGCACCATTGACCACAACGCTCTGCCTTCTTCCTTCCAACCAGTTCTTGAGCCACCTCACTACCTGATCATCAAGCCCACACTTCCTTATCTATGAGAATGCTGTGGGAGACAGTATCAAATGCCTTACTGAAATCAAGAAAAACCACATCTACTGCTCTACCATCATCCCTCCACCTAGTCACTTCCTCATAGAAGGCTAAGCTTGCATCCGCCTTCATATGTGCGCTGTGGTCACATTCACTGCAGTATGGATGTTCCCCAAGGGAATGACAGTGAATCCCTGTTTCCACCACCAGCATTTGATAAGCAGGAGGTGGAATAGATCTCACTTGGCCCCTGACTTCAGGCATGTGTGCATCCAGACTTCCTCCACTGCCAGGGCAGGGGAAGAGGGATGCTTGCCTTCTCCCACACACCTCTTTTCCACCTGCCTTTTCCTTCCATCAGATGAAGGGAGCATCCTGACAGCATCCACATGGCAGATGCTGTACAGAGAACTGGTGGTTTCTGAAAGAGAGGGAAGGATTCAGACCCAGCAGGTCTTCCTGCACCAACCTGCACGGGGAAACCCATACTGGAAATAAAAGAGTTAAAGAAATCATTTTTTTCTTAAATATGGCCTCTAGAGGTTGTGGAGCATGAATGAAATTGTGATGATACTTCATGCCTTTGAATGAGTAACAGGTCAATGGGTCAGCTCTCTTATTCCAAAATGTGGTTCAGATTTTTCATTATTCTTTTCTATAAATCAACATCTTTCACTGCCTTAATGAGTCTTTCTGTTCCCTTTCTCTTCATCTCAGCGTGCAAGTGTAATGGGCATGCTGACACTTGTCATTTCAACATGGATGCGTGGCTGGCATCAGGCAATCGCAGCGGTGGTGTCTGCGACAACTGTCAGCACAACACGGAAGGGCAGCACTGCCAGCGCTGCAAGCCGGGCTTCTACCGGGACCTCAGGAAGCCTTTCTCTGCCCCAGATGCCTGCAAACGTAAGTCAGTGACCACTCACTAACAAAATGGTTCTCGAGTGGGAGGGTGTTAAAGGAAAGGTGAGATCTTTCTGCCCCTCCTTGGATCAATTTTCTTGCTTCCATGAAGAGCAGGGAGCTCTTTGAATTCCCTTTTGATGCTGTTTGCAAAAAGCAGTGGTGTGGTCTGTGGGGCTGAATCCTTCAGATGCTGCGGACATATCTGTCCTGAGGATCCCTGTAGCCTGAGGGCAGCGCAAGAGAGATGATTCATTGACTTTCTCCTGCTATTTTTGGAGAGCAAAAGCTGCATCATGTTTTCATGTTCTCCTTGTTTGGTGATTGCCTCAACCTCAGAAGGGTGCCTCAGGCAACAGCTGATAAATAGCATTGCCCACCAGTGCGTGTTCACAGCATCAGCAGGTGGGTATGCAGGAAGAGACAGGAACATGAGTTAAGTGATATTCCACAAGGCATGACACAGAGGAGGCCAGGCCAAAGGCAATGACTTGGCCATATGTGAAATTAAATATTTCCCAAGCAGAAGCAGCAATCCAAAAGCCACGCTCTCCAGGGACCACTGTGAGGATGGTGACTCAGTGTGGGGGACTCCGGATCCCCAAACCATGCTGAGTACATTACACTGGTCAGCTAAATATAGGGTGAAGGAATGCTCTTCCCTCTGCATATACAGCCACCCACTGGCTTCACCAGATTTCTCCTCACTGACCCAAATCTGGAGGAGGACATTCGTGAGTGACAAAAAAAACTCTTAACTGACACCCTGCTTGTGTCATTTGAGGGGACACTGAGCACATCTCTCTCCTTCAAAGGAGAAGTACCTGTGTTTAAAGTAAGAGAAACCCTTTTGCAGTAGGGAGCTGCATTCCAGGTTGGGAGGCTATATGAAGTTTTACTCCTGTCTGCATGGTCAGGTGGGGAACAACTTTTCATAGAATCATAGAATAGTTAGGGATGGAAAGGACCTTAAGATCATCAAGTTCCAACCCCCCTGCCATGGGCAGGGACACCTCGCTCTAAACCATAATACCCAAGGCCTTGTCCAGCCTGGCCTTGAACACTGCCAGGGATGGAGCATTCACAACCTCCCTGGACAACCCATTCCAGTGCCTCACCACCCTAACAGGAAAGAATTTTCTCCTTATATCCAATCTAAACTTCCCCTGTTTAAGTTTTAACACATTACCCCTTGTCCTATCACTACAGTCCCTAATGAAGAGTCCCTCCCCAGCATCCCTATAGGCCCCCTTCAGATACTGGAAGGCTGCTATGAGGTCTCCACGCAGCCTTCTCTTCTCCAGGCTGAACAGCCCCAACTTTCTCAGCCTATCTTCATATGGGAGGTGCTCCAGTCCCCTGATCATCCTCGTGGCCCTCCTCTGGACTTGTTCCAAGAGTTCCATGTCCTTTTTATGTTGAGGGCACCAGAAATGTACACAATACTCCAAGTGAGGTCTCACGAGAGCAGAATAAAGGGGCAGGATCACCTCCTTCGACCTGCTGGTCACGCTCCTTTTGATGCAGCCCAGGATATGATTGGCTTTCTGGGCTGTGAGCACACAGGCTCATGTTCATTTTCCCATCGACCAGCACCCCCAGGTCCTTCTCTGCAGGGCTCCTCTGAATCTCTTCTCTGCCCAGCCTGTAGCTGTGCCTGGGGTTGCTCCGACCCAGGTGTAGGACCTTGCACTTGGCATGGTTAAACTTCATGAGGCTGGCATCAGCCCACCTCACAAGCATGTCAAGGTCCCTCTGGATGGCATTCCTTCCCTCCAGCATATCAACCGAACCACACAGCTTGGTGTCATCGGCAAGCTTGCTGAGGGCATACTCAATCCCACTGTCCATGTCAGCAACAAAGATGTTGAACAAGACCAGTCCCAACACCGATCTGAGGGACACCACTCGTTACTGGTCTCCAGCCGGACATTGAGCCATTGACCACAACGCTTTGTGTGCGGCCATCCAGCCAGTTCTTTATCCACCGAGTGGTCCATCCATCAAATTGATGTCTCTCCAATTTAGAGACAAGAATGTTGTGTGGGACAGTGTCGACCGCTTTACACAAATCCAGGTAGATGACATCAACTGCTCTACCGCTGTCCGTCAGTTCTGTAGCCCCATCATAAAAGGCCACCAAATTGGTCAGGCAATTTTGTCCCACTCCTTCACTGCACATCATAGAATCATAGAATGGTTTGGGTTGAAAGGGACCTTAAATATCATCTAGTTGTCTGCCACAGGCACGGACACCTTCCAGTAGACCAGGCTGCTCCAAGCCCCATCCAACCTGGCCTTGAACACTGCCCTGGATAGGGCAGCCACAGATTCCCTGGGCAACCTGTGCCAGCACCTCACCACCTTCATACTGAAGACTTCTTCCTAATATCCTATCTAAATCTACCTTCCTTCAGTTTAAAACCATTTCCCTTTGTCCAGTCACTACAGGCCCTTGTATTAAGTCCTTCTCCAGCTTTTCTGTAGGCCCCTTTTAGGCACTGGAAAAGCTGCAGTAAGGTCTCCCTGAAGCTTTCTCTTCTCCAGGCTGAACAACCCCAGCTCTCAGCCTCTCTCAGCATGATCCTCATGAGACAGCTCTGACAGCCTGTCACTGAAGTCCTCCTCTTCTCCTTTCACTTACTGGAAGGAGGAGCAGCAGCAGCGGAACTGCCTGTTTTACAGCCCTAACACTCTTTATGAAAACAGCATTGACCACAGTTCTCCATTACTTGTGTAAATAATTATTTCACTGCTGTAGTATGTACACAGATTTGATTTTTAAACAGTGATTTTAATGACTTTTTTAAGTTCCTTTACCTTCTTGTGTACATCAGAGTTCCAAGTCTTCTCCTCTGAAACATCAGAGATACTTTTCCTACATAATTATTGCCAGAACTTAAGCAATGAACTTTTCTTTGGGAGTTTTTAGTAAAAAAAAGAAGTTTAAATATTGCACTTAGGTAAAAAGTAGAGGCTTAAGGGGTTCTTTCTAGCTCACAGATTCATCCTTGCTGATTAAAGAAACCCAACTGGATTAATTAACTCCTGGTAGATAACACAGGAGAAAAGACTGAAATAAATTCTGTATGGGACCCTCAAGCTCCTAAATATGCTTTTACTGGGGTTGTGCTACCTTTGCCAGGGCTGTAATTCATGATATTCTTCATGTGCCAGCTCCTATCAGGGAAGACCACACACTTTTCTGAGGGTATTGAAGCCACCTCAGGCTTTGGCACTGATTTGAGTGCAGTCTCCTGGACACCTAAAAATAATGTCCTTCACTTTGGAGGTGGTTGGAGTGGCCACCATCTCCTGTGATGTCCCATCAAGGAGATGGAGTTTCACAAGGAACCTATCATAGAATTTTCCTGGTGCCGAAACATCCAGTACAATCCCAGAGGCTGTTTGGAGGGTCCAAGAGGAAGTCAAATGGCACCTCCTGGGCTAGCCAGCACAGGGACTTCTTCCTTGCAAAACCAGATGAAAACAGAGGTCTTGGGACATATTTCTGCAAAACAGCCACAGCTCAAAGGGAAGGCTGCCAACAGTGTGCGTGTGCCTGTGTGCAAGTTAGCCCAGTGCTAATGAAGTCAGGCATTACATCACTCCGTTAGCTCTGTGTTAGCCAAATCCCAGGAGACTTGATTAAAAAGTTCCTCCCAGCCCTTCTGGGCAGGAGGAAGCAGTGGAGATGAGATAATTAATGGGTATTTCTGTTGATGTATGCCAGTGCTTGGCCTTCTTGACTTTCTGCGCCCATCTCTGAATCACTGGCCCATGGCATTCCACGTATTTATAAAAAAAATAAATGTGCCTGACATAAAGACTATAAATTTGTTTCCATTACTCTTTCATGCAGCAATTCAGCCTCTTTATGGACCAACTGTGTATCCATGAGCTCTGGTATTTAAATGCCAAAAGTAATATATATTTGACAAGAACTGTAAGATAGCCTTGAGTAGAGTGTGAAAACACCTATATTTATTTACCTTATGCATTAAGTGCATGTACTTGTTGGGGTTTTTTTTGTATTTATGAGTTACAGAGCATGAGGTACCCAAGTATCTCAGCATGAAGTACTCATAACCCCAGCATAAATAGGGTTCTGCAAAAACATAGGCGTCATCTGAATGCTTTCCTTTCAGAGACCGTATTGCTACAAATACACAGATTTTTTTTCTCTCTGGCCTTTTCAAATCCTCACAAATGCTCTCCTCCTTAGGATCCCTTTACTATTGCCCTTCTGGTCTCCCACTGCAGGGGATGCTCCCTACACTCAGGGTACCAGCATCTCACGGGGGAGCCCAGCAGCTTGCAGGGCCATAGCAAATGACTAATGACTGTTAAATTAAATTATATAAGAGCAATTACAGCCTGTGCCTGGCACATTTCCAAGGACCATGCCATGGTCTGTAATAACAAGGGATGTGCATGGTGCCCTGTTATTCTTTTGGGGAAGGCCACAGCATTGACTGCTTGCTTCTGGCTCAAGGCGCCATTATTGCTCAACTGCAGGGCAGCACTGAAAATTTTAACATACCAAGGTCAAGGTAAATAAAGGAGTTGTTAAGCCATAATCTTTAAGGATACTTTAAAGATTCTTGTAGGTGAAGAGCATATATAATATTTGCTCAGAAGTAGGTGTGTACCCGATAAAACAAGACATTCTCCCATTTAAAAGAGCAATCTGATGACTCTTTTCCCCTGCTATACCTATCGGTCCTTTTCTTTACATCCCTCATGAATTTTTAAGCCTCAGCTACAGTATAATTGCAGACAATAAATTTGGGTTTATAATTGCTGAATTTATTTTTGCTTTTCAACTGTAGGGTTTTGAGGGTAAATTTTTGTCATTTCCAAAGGTTAGCAGGCAGCTGAAGAAACCATGATGCTATCACCAATCCAGGGTGGGGAAATCCAGCTCCTCTGGAGTCCCACTCGCTGGGTTTTGATGCCAGTCAGGACATGACATGCCAGGACAGGCAGCTGTTATTTCATGTGTGTGTGTAAGCCATGGGCAGAATAATGCTACGTGCTACAGGGTGGTGAATATTTAAACAATGCTGCTTACAAATCACGAAGAAAGCAAAAAGATAAAGCCTGTGTCTTGGACCCAGGCTAGTGGTGCCCAGCCAGCCCTTCTCACACAGGAGCTTCCTTGGCCATGGAAACTACTAGCCTCTGCAGGGGGGTGGCCACTATCACTAGCACATGAGACAGGCACCATCTCAAAGCCTTGCACTGAGAGTCTTGCACTCTACACACATGTATCCACCACAAAGTGCCATCCAGCACTGTCTGTATCTGCTTTATCTGCTGCTCAGCTGCTCCTCTTGCCTTTCTGGAGGAGGTCTCCTACAGCCTTTACTACAGAGAGGTGCAGATTGGGTGGAAGGAGGAAAATGGAGTCTAAAACCAACACTCGGTGCAACAGTTCATGAAGGAGCAGTAGCTGCAGCTGGCCAGTGTTGCATAATCATTCCTGCAGTCTTTTCTTCCTGCCATTGCCATAGTATGGACACATTTGGTCTTATTTTCATCCATCTGTTTCGAAGCTGGTACAATGAGCTAACATTTGAGCTTTAGATTCTCATTTCTGTGCTCAGTGCATAGTGATGAAAGTGCACTGTATGTCTCTGCATTGCTCGGCATGTTCCCACTGCAGCACCTCACAAACGTTTACCATCTTCTGAGTTTGCCACCCAAAATATCCAGCTTAATGGCATTTAGTATCACCTTGAGTCTCCACCCAAGGTGCAAGACCAAAAAGCTTCAATTCACCAGCCACCAATGGAAAGCAGGTTGGCGACTTGGGGAGCTCACAGGGGAGCAGCCCGGAAGGACAAGGTTCATGGATGTGGGTGCTCAGCCCTTACAGAAATGACCAGCCTTTGCAGCACATCTCTTTGAAGCTTTTATTAAAAAATATAGCTAACAACATGCTTATTTTTCAATGCTGTTTTAATTGCCTATGAGCTTGCTGCTATGTTTTTCATAACAGCCTTTGTAAATTTAATATTCTTGCCTCACCATGGTATTGCCACTGCCATGAAATTTTCCATTAGGAAAACAAATTGTGTGAAAACATAGTCTAAAATATTAAAAGCTCCATCCCCAATAGGGGCTGGGTGTTAAACAGCTGAAACCCAACTGAAACAGGACCAAATCTCTCTCTGAGCACTGAGTTTAGCTCACTGACTGCAGGGGAATAGAAGAGCTTTAAGTGCTTGATATTTCCCCTGAAGGGGCCGAGGAATGCCAGAAATACCCACCGCATCTAGTAGGAAAAGAGCATTAGACTAGACTGTATCAGGTGTAAAACACTTCACAGATTTCAGGAGAATGGTATGTGAGGCGAGCACTGCTGACAACTATGCTATTAAAGGTACTGGAGTTCACTGCCTGCAGCTCGTAATGCAGTTTGTGGAGAGGCTTTCTAATCTTTTAATTTTATATAATTATATTTGTTTGGGAATGTAAAGGGTGGGGAAAAATAGAGGATTACTTTGGCAAAGATTTTGGAATCGTAGTCGCCTCTAAGTTAACTGCCAATATTAACCTATCCTTTAATATTTTGAAATGACACTCCAGGTATGTCAAATCCCCAAAACCACAAAAATGTTGTCAGAGCAAAATTAAATATATGCACAGAGCAGTAAGTATTTCAAGATAAAGAAAGGCAGTGCTGTATGCAGTGGCTTTTCTGCTTTATTGCTTTCAGGTTGCAAACTCAAAATATTTGCATTGGAATTTGGTGAAAAACTTCCCCCAAAATGAAATTTTCTCAGGAAATCTCATTTTTATGTAAATGGAGCTTTAGACAGAAGTCTTCCAGCAGGGAATGTTTTGCCATAATGCGCAAAGCTGATCATAACGCGTCCCCGTCAGAGAACCAAACCCTGAGGGCAGGAGAGCACAAGTCACCCAGCTACTGATCCTGTGGGGAGAATCACGCTGCCTGCTGGCCAGGCCAAATGTCCAGAGGTTTGGATCACACTTTTGTTAGGTGTATTTCTGGTGTTTGAAAAGGTTAACGTATTTGGGGAGAAAAAGACTGCAGTCTCACAACAGTCGCAAATTGCATTCATGCCAAAGAAAAATCCTAAGCAGTAGGCAAGGAAAATTTCACACCACCTATTTTAAGGGATCCTTTCTAATTTGTGATAATGGCCGTTTCTTCCAGTGTGTCCCATTATGCTTCTAGTGCATTGTTCTGTTGTGAGGGGCTGTGGGAGAGGCAAAAAGAGCAGCTGGCATTTCTGACATGCACTCTTCAAACCCATGTCCTGGAGTGTACCCAAAAGCATATCTCTGAGCCACTGGTGTCCTCATTCTTGTTTGTTTGTTTGTTTGTTTTTAAGTCATTGAATTAAGTAGGTTGGAAAAGACATTCAAGATCATGAAGTCCAACCATTACCCCAGAACTGCCAAGTCCACCACTAAACCACGTCACCAAGGGCATCTACACAGTTTTTGTATACTTCAGGGACAGGGATTCCACCATTCCCTGGGCAGCCTGTTCCAATACCTGGCTACTCGTTCAGTGAAGAAACTACTAGTTGGTGGCTTTAAAAGAAAACCAGACAGAGACAGAGGGGTACTTCTTTGGTCAGCCTCCACTTCAATTAAAATGACTGTTCTGAAGGGGGGTTTAACCTCCTGGATGCAAGACAGTTGTTATTACTTTAGAAAGCAATTGCACTCTGATGTATTTTTTCAGTGAAGCACCCACAGCTGCTTAAACATCACTGCAAGCCAGGCACATCCCTGGGTATTTGGCTGAACTGGAGTCTGGGTGCTACAAGGAAAGTAATAAAGGCCTGTTCGGCAAAACATAACATGACACCAGTGTAGGTTGACTAATTAAGATAGCTCAAAAAGTGAAAATCGTACAGATTCTGAAGGGGGACTGCTCAGATGTATATGGGTGAGAGTCAAAAACAAAGCCCAGAAACCCCACCGGTGTCCTTGGCAGGGCAGTGTTATCGCAGGCATATCCTGCACCTCTGTTCTGCAGAGCTTTTGCACTCACAGATGCTCTCTCCCACAGCATGCTCCTGCCACCCCCTGGGATCAGCCACTCTCCCCCTGGGCCCTGGCACCTTCTGCGACCCCAGCACCGGTGACTGCCCCTGCAAGCCCGGCGTGGCAGGGCCCCGCTGCGACCGCTGCCTCCCCGGCTACTGGGGCTTCGGTGCCTACGGCTGCCGCCCCTGCGACTGTGCCCGCAGCTGCGACCCACACACGGGTGACTGCCGCAGCAGCAGGTGAGATGGGGAGCCCGGACATCCACTCCCAGCCTCACCATACTCTTGGGATCTCCATCCCATGGGAGCATGGGCATCTGCTCCCAGCCTCACCTTACCCCCAGGATCTCCATCCCAGGGATGGCGTCGCACCAACCCCATTTATGTATGGCACATGAGCTGAAAAATATCCATTATATACCATATTTGGGATTGGTATGGTCAGGAACTGGGGACAGAGCAGGAGCTGAGGCTGTGGTTCACCTGGGTGCCTGGCACACCATGGGCATGGCACCAGCAATGTTTGATCATTGGCTCTCAGTGCTGGTGTTAATGTATTGGGTGTTTTCCATAACCTTCACAGGTGCTTCCTTTCCACAAGCAAAATATGGCCCTCAAGGACATCTGAGAGGAGACCAAAACTGAACACTGTTGCTGTTGCAACTCAGCTTGTGTTGGACTTGGAGTCAAGCTCTGACTTTAGAAGACTACATTTTAATAACAACTCACCCTCTGTATCTTATATGTTGCTTCTTTTTTACCACACTAGGGTTATTTATAGCATATAAACCCCTCTAATTTATTTTAAACCCAAAATGGATTCATGACCCTGTCTGACAATACTCAACTTGTTCACTTGGCAAAACTGCTCCTGCCATTTAACATCACCAAGACATGCAGTCATGTTGGATAGGTTGGTAGAGGCCCTGCTTTCCACTAGCTCCAGATTGACCATGTCCCTTTCCCTCCAACAGCTCAGATGTGACCTGGCACAATGAAGCGCCTCCTTTTCAGGCAGTGCTTAATGAGAGCGAGCCCACCTGGGGCTGGGAGGATGAGCAGGGCTTCTCAGCGCTCCGGCACTCCGGTAGGACAGCAGCTTCATGTGTGTTTCCCTGCCCCCTCCCTTCGACCAGCAGCCAGTGCAGATGCAGTCTTCTGCACTAGCTTGTATTTAGCACCCTGTCAGTTGTAGGAGGGGATGGATGTTCTGCCATTAGCATCCTGTGTGACCACCTCCTTCCCCTCCACAAGTTGGAGAAGTCTTATGGCTCATCCCATCAATGTGAGGACCCTCTAGGCAGATGCTCCATGCACCCAGCATTTAGTTGTCAGTAGGACAAGAGTTGCCTGCCTGAATTTGCAGCCCCAGCTCTGAATTTCAAGGCTGAATACTCTCATGTTTTCGTTGGCTACGTTTTAAATGTGTCTTTGTATTTGCTAGAACTACTAGATGCTGGGCAAACCAGCAACATCATTTAGAGGGTGGGGGTAATTGGCAGGTAATTGGGAAGTTTCTAACTGAGAATTTATTTTGCCGATACCCACAATAACTTCGGCATCGATTGCAGCTCCTGATGCAGTTATGGCCTAGCATTACAGCTATGGCTTCAGCTGGGGAAGTTGTTTCCCTCTTGTTGCCATAGTCTGGAGGAGATGGGTGCAGTGTGAGGCTGCTGCAAGGCAGGTTGACCCCACAGTGCAGTATCAAGCCGTCCTCCCTTGCAATTACTGCATACAAGTAGGCAAACGTCATTTCCTCCATCTTCAGAAAGCAGCACGATAAAATCTCAAAGATACAATAATTGAGTTAATTGAGAGGAAAGCTCCATCATTTGTCTGGGCAACTTCATTTTGAACGTAAATAAGTATATCATGTTATTCTTTGTTCTAAGATCACGGAAGTCATTAATCTGCCTTAACCTCTGCAGCATTTCCTTTTAATATTTTGTCTGGTACATTACGGTGTGGAAAATACCACAGGGAAAGACATGCGTGTTATTTGCATAACAAGGCAAAATAATAAGGCCTCTGTTTCCCTTCTCTTCAAATTGTAAACAAGGAATAATTGCCCTTGCACTAAGACTGTATATTCAGTCTGGGAATGAAAATAGGGCTTTTTCTGCATGGTCTTTGCAGACCACATGAAAACCTCTTTGCAGGTCCTGTCTTTTAGAGTACAATCCACAGCTGTTTGCTTCCTTTCTTTCCCCAGGTAAATGCGAATGTAAAGAGCAAGTTTTAGGGAATCCCAAGGTCTTTTGCGGAATGAAGTACACCTATGGTGAGTTGTGGATGAGGTGGCAGGGACATAAAAGGAGGTTCTGCAAGTCGGTCCAAGAGCGTCAAGCATGAGATGTGTTGCTCTGTGTACTGCTCCATTCCAGCAAACCTGGGAGTACCCCAAAACCATGGGCTACTCAGTCTAAGGGCAGATCTTTGACCTTTCCAAAATATATAGATATCATGGTGCCAAGTTAAGGTGGGTAAAACATCTTGGTCTTTTATGCACCTCTCTTGCTACCAAAATACCCTTGTGTTAAAATCATGGGAGGACTAGAACTGTCAATGCGCCGGAGAGGTTGTCTAGATAAATTGTAAAGTACTGTTGCCAAAAATGAGTCACTGAAACTCCATCTGTAGGCCAGATGTTCCAAGCACAGCATAGAAATCACTAAATCTAAATTACACTGAATGTGAGGATGGACAGTGATCACCACACAAGACACTATGCTGAGGAAACACCTTCATCCACTGAAAACTGCCCCCTGTCAACAAAGTTCACCTGTTGCAATGGGGTGATGTATACTGTCCATGTGTCTACTGGATCTAAATGAATGAGAGGAGGCAGTTTGTTTCCCAGACTTCTCTGGTGCGTGCCAGTGAACCACCTCCTTCATACTGCCGCAGAACAAGGAATGCTCTGCACAGCACTCCCTTCCTTCACAGTCTTCCAGGGGTCTCTTTCACCTGTTTCATCTCACACTGAAGTTGAAAATGCACAGAGATAACCCATACCTCTGCAGGCTGCGGAGCAACCCACAAAGGGAAGTTCAAGGGGCTGCCAGCTGTTGAAATATAGTCCTGGTTTAGCAATACTAACAGAAAGTCTGATTCTGCTTTGCACTGCTCCCTGACCACCATAGTGACTGTGTTTAATCTTGCAAAAGATAAGGAAAAAAGTCACAAAAACCCAAGTTCATAAATCTTATCTAAAGTGCACTCAGGCTTCCTATCCTTTCATCACTCAACTTGCAAAGGTGTCAGCTGAACTGGAGAGAGATGAATTATAAGGCTCATCATGAGATTCAGGAGGCCATACTGCAGGAAGGGTTTTCCCTGAGCTTCCTAGCATGCAGAGCTGAATAAAGCACCACCATACCATGACACCTACCAGTGAAGGTAGTCATCAGCACGATCAGGGGGTGGGTCACATATGGGACCTGAACCCTGAGCTTCTACAGTGCAGGGGCTCAGCAGGTGGAATACAGGCAGCAGGAGTGTGCCTGTGGGTATCTGTGAGCTCAAAATACTCAATGCTTTGCCTCATTCCCCACCAATGTCTCCATCTCCACTACTCCATTTGTATTCAGCAGGTGTGCAAAGCAGGAGGACCAGCAGCAAGAGTGCTCACCAGAGTGGGATGTGGGCAGCTCCTCACACCCCTGCCTGCTGCCTGGCTTGCCCAGGGCAAGGTCAGCAAAGCCTCCAGGTCCATCCCTAAAGGGCTTTCCACTTGATTTCCACAAGTGCTAAGGAAGCCAAAGTCTTTTCTGAGCTCTCGGGAAAATGGGGCTCTCACAAGTTTTGGAAATCAGGTCATTGGGATTCTCCCACTGCCCACATGGCAGGTCCAGGGGCTGTGACCAAACCGACTGGCAGCATTCCTGCCCACAGGTATGGGGATGGATGTACTCCCCTAGCAGTTGACTCTGGCATCCCCAGCAAGGAGCATCAGGCTAACTCCACTGTAATTAAGTAATAGTCCTCATTGCTTCACCCAGACACCTGCATTAGACCAAAAAAAAAAAAGAAAAGAAAAGAAGAGAGAGCACTGTAAGTAGTTTATATATACCTAGTTTTTAATTTGTGTCTTCCCAGTGATCAAGACAAAGATCTTGTCAGCTCATGACAAGGGCTCCCATGCAGAAGTCAATGTGAAGATCAAGAAAGTCTTAAAATCTACAAAGTTGAAGATTCTCCGGGGCAAGAGGACACTGTACCCTGAATCCTGGACTAACAGAGGCTGCACTTGTCCCATTCTCAATCCCGGTAGGTTTGACTCCCTGAGCAGTACATCCCCACCACATTTACACAAATTCCATGCCCACCTCTCCATCCCCTCATGGCAGTGAGCTGAGAGAGATTGCAGCCCAGTGTCAGGCTGTTATGTCATTTGGATTCCAACAGCAACCTCCATCAAGTCTGAGTTTTGTAGAAGAAAACTGGGGTCATTCTGCAGACTTTCAAACACACAATTCTCTTTATGAAGCATAATAACAGTCTCAGAGCTTTATGAGTCTCAGTTTCCAGAGGGAGGGAAGTGCCTATTGCGCCATGACATAACTTTTCAAAACTAATGCTAATTTGAATCCATAAAAACACATTTAAACCTTAATTTGAGTCATATTGTCCTGAGATTCTAAACTCTCTTTGAAAGTAATACTCATTTGCATCTTCAGGATTTGGAAGATACTCTCTTATGAAGTGAGAGGAGAGCTTTGGCTTCACAGTTTTTTCTTGCCTTCTTTCACTGAAATGCAGTATAACCAGTGGTGGCTAAGCAGTGCATGCAGCCTCCGGTACAGACAAGGAGATGCAGACTCAGGGTTTTCTTCATTACAGCAAAGCTAAGCTCCAGCTGACACACCTTTCTTTACAGCTCCGAGATAAAACAACAGTTATCAGCTAATTCAGATAAAGGTTTTTTTTCCATCAGGCACACACATCACTTGGAAATCACCAATCAAAATGACAACTTAGTGCTGAGACATCCCTTATGTGTGGAGCACCAGGAGCTTCCTTTGGGAGGAAAGGGCTGTCTGTGAGGCTGGATCATGCAAAAAGGTTATTCATTGATGAGGTGTTTGTAGTCTTCTTTCATCTCTACCGGAGGGACTGCCTTTGGCTTTGAAGGCAAGGTGCCGTGATTGCAGAGCTGTAGTCAGGAAGTCTTGTCAGGTGCAAGGGTCGAATGAATCAGCAGTGTTAGACAGGACTTTACTGTTTTAAGGGCAGTAAGACTTCGGATATTGGTAAAACACCATAAATCTATAATTAAATTGGTACAGCTGTTTTATTTTTCCATATGCAAACACGAGTAAGAAAGCTCAGATACGGCTGCCTTAATATGAACTGGAGGAATGCTGTCAGAACACTGAGCATGCAGGGTAGCCTACACCTGACACCCAGCTTTGCAATTCCACTAACTTCAGAGGAGCTTCACTGATTTTCCCTAGCAGAGGAAAAGACAGCAGTGATCACAGGATCGATGAAGATTGCTTGAAGTGTTGAGGTGCAATTGTCCTTAGGGACAGTCCAGGCATCTGACATATCAGGTGTTACTCCCTTGCCAGCTGTCATGATTTACACTGCAAAGCTTGGTGTTGTCTTGAAATGCAGCTGCTGGCATCCCATGAGTGTAAATTAATCTCAGCTTTCATGTTAGAAGTTGTGAAGTTTGGTCCTAATGGGAAGCTTGAAAATATCAATTGAGTGCATCTTTACAATTCAATCATTTCAGAGGGGAAAAAAAGGATCCCAGATAGTTTTTCAAATCTTATTATTTTCTTCAGGTACCACATTCATTTCTGACTGGTTGGCAATACTGTATTAGCAGATTTAACCCTTTCTCAAGAGTAAGAGCTTTTGACCTCCAGATGAAGAAACCAACAATAGCCAGATAAAAAGCCGAACTGACATAGAACAATTTCCTGACTTATAGCTATAACGGAAGTCACATCTCCCACAAACATAGAGGAGATCAAAGATAAAGATAACAGAAAGAAAGACGTATTTTTATTCTGTGGCACAACACTGGAGAGATATCAAAAGGAGGGTAGACTCTGAATGTCTCTGGCAAGAAATAAAAACTCCAAGCATTTATCAAATCTCCATGGGCTGTTTTCAGATTGTAAATGTGCTTCAGTTCCTGTGAGGGGGTATTCACTACCCTTGCACACCTTCCCCTCCACACACACCTACAGAGGCAAGTTAGACTGCTGGGTGGGCACTGAGCTGAAAGGTTTAAAGGTCTCAGCTGTCTGCGAGGAAACAGCAGCCCTTCTCTTCCTTGGCTTTGCCAAGCACAGACACAAACAAGCAGACAACTGCCTGCCAGCAACAGAGGACAAAACCCGCAGCCTCAAGTGCTGGCTTGTGACATCCCAGTCATTTGATTCATTTTACTTTTACACTTCTGTAGCATCAGGTTGAAAATCCAGAAAACCTTACAGAATCAGCAACCATAGCAATATTTGCTTGTTCTGTGTGGGTGTATGCCATGTTTCTCTCTCCAGGGAGACAAATTTAGGAGCCCTTGAAAAGCGCTGTTACAATAACAGCAGGATTAGCATCACCAAAATTAATGTCTTGAAAAGGGTGATACTGCCATACACATACCCTGTGTTTACTTGGCAGAAGAGAGGATGTGTGTGCCCAAAACCTCAGATGAAATAGATAACAAATTGTATTGAATTAAAGAAAAACATGCTTGACCTTTAACTAGGGGACACTCTTTATTGTGAGCTACAAAATGAAAACCTAAGAAAACACAAGCAGACTCCCCACTGCAGCCTAGATGAGTGGGATGACTGAGAGCACTGGGGGAGACCCATCTCCCCAAGCCAGTTAGTACTGCCACATGGTGCTCCCCAGACCAGTGCAAAGAGAAAGGCTACAGGGGGGTCACATGCTTGCTGTATCTCAGTCCTGCTGCAGTGAGAAGCTGTCCCTGGCTGGGAGCTTATCCTGCCATGGGAGAGATTATCATCTATGCTTTCCTCATTTATGGCACGTTTGTGGCCCATTTAGGCTGTTGGGATCTGTGGCAGTGTTTCTTTAGCTAATTCAAGCCAAAAGCTTCCAGCCATCTCCACACTTAGCAGTTTTTGCCTGACTGTATTTGTTCTTTAAGTCATGCCCTGAAAGCCAACCACAGACCTGGATGGCTGGGGCAAGCCTTGTGGCAGGGCATTGCAGGGCCATACTCCAGCACAGTCTGTCAGCTTCTGGATACCAGGCAAGGTTCACCAGACACTCTTGTCATGTCTCTAAAACATCTGGGGAGGCAGAAATTAATGCACCTCTTTTCAGTGTGCCTGCCACCCCCTCAGGCTTTTCTGGGGTGTTCACACCAGCAAATCTAGTATTGCCTCCCCTCCATGAGAGAGGGTCTGGTGTGTCTGCACTGAATTGACCGATTTCCAGGCAGGTATTCAGGCTGAGGCAGGTGGCTGCCAAGTGAGGGTAATAACAGTTCACAAATAAGGAATAAAAACTGGTAGCACAGCACCCAGAGTTCTGCTTCCATTTATATTTAGAAGCCAACAAAATGAAGGTTTGTATACTCCATCTCACTGGCAGATGTGCCACAGGGGTCATTTTTCCATAGATATAAATATACAAATATAGGAGAGAATCAATATGTATAAATATCTCTTCATATACGTCCTTTTTTACATGGGACTAGATATCCAGGCTGACCTTGCATTGTCAATAGGCCTCTGAAGTGTAGTGCTGTGCAGTGCCTGACCGCTTTGCTGGTTTACAGGCTTGGAGTACCTTGTGGCGGGACACGAGGATGTCCGAACAGGCAGACTCATTGTCAACATGAAAAGTTTTGTCCATCAGTGGAAGTCAGCTCTCGGAAGAAAGGTCCTGGACATTCTGAAAAGAGTCTGCAACTAGAGGTGTGCGACTGCCTTGGGCATTTCTTTATGCACAAAATGCAATGGCCTTCACAGAGAGAAGACCTCTAGGATGAAAACTGGAATGTAAGAAAATAGTGCCAAAACATGTAGCGAGGCATTCAGAGTTGTAGGCACTGTCTGATTTAACCCTTCCTGGCCAATGTTCATTCACTCGCCTGTAGCTTCCTTGCCAGGGGTTTGCCTGAGCCCAGCTCATGGTTACATGGAGGGAAACAAAAGGCAGGGCAATGCTTGTCTCACCACAGTGTGATGCTGGAGCAACTCCTATGAAGCCACTGATCATCCCAAACTGCTATCCTAGAGAGGGAAAGCGTGCCCACGCGCTACAGCTGAGAAGGAAAACACCACTGCCAGTGCCACCAGTGGGGATCCTGAATGACTTCCAGAGGCTCATGGTGATTGCTGTGGGGAAGGTGATGGCCACAATGGTAGGTAGGCACTGGCAGAAGTATGGCTGTGACAACCACTCTTCAGAAACATCCCCTTAGGTTAAGACATGGCTCCCATCAAAGAGAATTGGGTGCCACTTGCTTATAACCTGGTCACCCCACTGAAGGTTTTGGGGGCTAAATTCTCTGCTGGTGCTGGCGAGGACAGAGCTGCTGGAGTGAATCAAATCCCTCTGCCTTGGCACAAGCGCAACACAGGGCAGAGGCCGGCTCTACCCCGACCACATGGCTGCAAAGAGCCAGCTCCAGAGGGTGCAGCATCTCTGAGCTTTTGTCCTTGAAGTGTTAAGAAATGAACCTAGCCCTAGTGTAAATATTTCTTTGTATAAAGCACTTTACTACCTGCCACTTCACAGTGCGGGAAGTCTAATTGTGTTGGGGAAAGAAGAGGTTGAAGGTGGCACATGAAAAAATCTCCCTGAAAGAGAAGCACTCCTGAAGACCCCCTAGTTGAACGGCATTAATGATATAAAGGGAACGGCCAGCCTGGAACTGGCCACTCAGAGTATCTGAGGGTGCAATCTGAAAGATAAAGTATTTGCACTGAAGTCCCAGCTTCAGACCAGCACTTAGACCCCGTGGGCAGGACTCCAGCGAGACTGCGCTAACTGTGTGAGAAGAAGAGACTTTGAGATGAATAATGCAATTGCCAGAGGAGAAAACCTCTGCCTGCAGGAAAAGGAGAGGATACGGAGAAAGGACTCACACATTCACGTATCACAACCCAGCGATTCATGGTGGGCCTGGAGTTTGTTATATTTTTGTGTTAGTATTTAAGACTGAACATTTTATTTGTTTTCTCTGTGTTAGTGTTTGCAATATATATGGCCATTATACTTCCTCATTAACACCAGTATGGAATATAGCACAGTTTACTGCAGTTTTCAGCACTAAAATGTATCCTTTTCTGTAAAGCATCTTTAAACCACATTGCATAGAGTGTATTTTGTTCATGAGTGTGAGGGGAAAGAAAAAGAAAACATACAACTCTGGAAAAGTCATGAGTCTACCAATCCGCTTTACGTATGTATTTTTCTTTCAAGGTCCTGTGGACTCACAAAAAAAAATTATACTATTTTGGTAATTTGTTTTTGTATCTCATGTATGTAATAAATATAATACGATTTCAACTTCTTCACCTTGTGTCACTGCTTACCCCACTGGCAATGCAATCTTCCTGCCTGCACTAAACAGGGTAGTAAAGATGATTCTGGGGAAGCAGAAGCTGCCATGGGGGATATTTTCCTCTCTGGCAGGTTAACATTCACCATGTGGTAAAAAGCCAAGTAGCATGGTTCCAGACATCCCATTTCACCCCTGTTTAGGGAGGCTTCTAAGCTCTTCTCATAAGAAGGCGACTTGTACCTAAATATTTTCCAAGCTGGCCAGATCCTGAATCCACGCAGGCCTGATGGCTGAGTTGCAGAGCAGTTACCCATGAAAAGAAAGCTGGGGATGGCAGAGATCAGGCTCAGTCCTACATTTGAAACTGTAAAGGGGAAAAAAAGGCTGTGGGAAATAAGCACTGTGGCAAAAGGTCTATAAACAAGCTGCGGAGTGGAATCAAGCATCAGAAATGAGTGGCCAGGGGGTCACAGCGTAACCCACAGAACGGGCAGCAGCTCCCCGGGCAGGCGGCTAAGCAGTGACTGCCAGGCCACCACGCTTCAGCAGCACGCGCCTCCCCCAGCACAGGAGAGGGCAGGGCAAGACTCCTGTGGGGACATTTGGAGACCAAGAGCCTCCAATTCCATTTAAAACTTCACAGTTTTACCTGCTTGATGTGTTTTTAGCTTCATTTACTTCAGTGTCATTAAAACTACATGCACAATGGACAGTTAATTAATGGGAACAGGATGTCTGTCCCTGCCCACCTGGAGTCGATTTGTTCCTGGAGTAGACTTGACCAGTCCTCCTGTGTGACAAAAATCAGTGTCAGGAAAACCAGTACAGTCATAATCAGAGTTGGCAGCAGCACCCATAAAAGAGTCTTTTCTTCCAGAAATACCCCTCTGACCTTACAGAAAAGAGTTGCTTATGCAGGCAAAGCTGACAGCTTCCCAGGAGCAGAGCCGCCCCTCTCTGTACTGTGCTGCCTCCAGCAAGAGAGCGGACGCGAGTCCTGAGTTTTCAGGGACCAAGTGATGGCGGTGTCACTGGGAGCTGCAGCAGCTCACCCTAGAGCATCCCCATGCTGCCCTCATGCCTCACTGCACCTAAAGAGCAAGTACCTCTCTGCAGCTGAAGCAGGAAGCATGGTGGATTCTGCAACCATCCCTGTTTCCAATGCAGGAGGCTATAGGTAAGCAGTTGCTGGGTGCCAGCGATAGGGTAGGGTTGTGTGTCAGCATCGCAGGAATGACTCTTGAGTGCACTTGGGCTGCAGAAGGTAAAGTGGGTGTCTTTGACCCAGCTGCCACCACAACACAGATCCTAAGTGTACATGGCAACACAGCCCCTCCAGTGTACCTACATATGATGATTCCAAACCTGTATTTCCCCAAGGCACTCATGGAAGATCTCTTTCCCCCTTTCTAGTGGGTTTGCACAGGAGCGCTCAGCAGATGCTTTGGCACGGAGAAAGGAACACCCAGCCCCAAGTTTTCAGTCTTCTTGCACTCTCCAAGCCCAAATCCCCCACCTCCCAGGAGGTCTCCTCCACCCTCAACCCTTCCCAGACCAAGAGCTGGTGGGCTGCAGAAGTGGTATCTCCTCCTGCCATGACGAGAACCGGGTGAGGGCTCAGGGCTGTGCTGGCTGCACGTACGTGGGTCAGGTCCATCCCCAGAGGAGCGTGATCTTCCAGTTGAAGTGGAAAATTACAGGCGTGTTTAATATAGCTGCTCTGGCGAGCTAAATCTTCTGGGATATGACCATGTTGCTGCTCGTTTGGCCAAAAATGATGGAACATCTGGTGTTACCGGCCTGCCTAAATAGAAAGCCGGGCTGGTATGGGTAAACATAACAACTCAGGAACAAATAGCTACAGTATGATTATTTTTTTTCAATCTTTATTTTTAGTTATCGCATTGACTTCAGTATCAACACTGGATAGAACAAACATCTCAGAAATGTCCGGTGGCTGCTGCTCCAGCATCCAGAGGAGCCCTCTCTCCGATGAGGCAGGAGGAGATCGGCTGCCTCTGGGCCTTCTGGACTGATGTGTTGATTTTTCGATGACGGTGTTTCCAAGGCATGCCTCAGCCCAGGGGTCACAGCTTCTTGCTGCTCTTTTCCCACAGATCAGCATAGAAACATCTCAAATGCCTTTAATTGCTTCAAGGGAAGGCAGTGAGGCCTCAGCAGGGCTCTCAGGCTGGGAAATATACTATATATGGGAAACTTGTCGGCATATTGAAAACGTTACTATGGCTGAGAGTCCAGTGTGCTATGGCAGGCACTGGGAGAACTGCTCTCTCTGCCCAGGCCAGCTCCAGGCTGTGCCCATCTCCTCACTTCTCTGTCACTCCAGTGGGCCCTTTGGAGCAAATAAAACACTGGGCTGATTGCAAATGTGATGTGCCCGTGAGTGTGATGTGCTCAAACATATGATGTGCTCCTGGATATGATAAAGCCCAATTGATGCCCGTAGCCCAAGGAAAACTGTCATGCCCAAACCTTGTTCCCTGCAATGTAATCTACAGCTGAAGGTATCTCCAAGCTCTACCTGGATGCTTCCTCAGCAGTAGAAGATGCATAGAAGAAGTTATCAGGATGCTGAGAGGCCTAGGTGCGGGGTGGGGGTGTGTGTGTGCCTCCCCATTCCCCACAGGACTGTTCACTGCTTCATTTCTCAGATGGTCAAGTCCACTGCTCAAGTCTCCAAGCTCCCCTGACTGGGCAGGTTTCTCACAGTGCCAGCATTTTCTGCCTTTGACCTCTTCTCTCAGTCTTACACACAGAAGTTCTATACACTTTTTGAGCACAGGACATGGATTTAAAGCCACCTGGAAACCAGGGCTGGCAAAAGGGCCTCAGATCTGTATGAAAATTGCTGAGAAGAATAAAATTGTTTCCTAAACCCAACATCAGTGATGTTTCCCTGAACTGACTTGCAGTGGGCATGGATATGCACCCTTGCAGCAGGTGCACAGTGCAGTCCAGCCCCAGGCTCAGGATGCACACTGAGGTACTGAAACAGGAAAACCAGATCAAAACCAAGCAACCATCCATTAGGCTGGTGTTAACCTGGAGTAAAGAACATTCCTCCCCATGCCTGATTCACACACGTCATACCTACCTGGTTTACTAGGAGATATCTCTTAACATTATAATCTGAAGACATGCACCTGTAAAAATGGCAGTTGCTCTCTGCCTCTGCTCTTCATCCTTTGCGCCAGGTGCAACTCCCATCCAGACCTTGAGTGTTTGTGCAGCCTCTGTGTGGTCAAGTCTGCTGCATAATCTCTACTTGGGTTTTATCTGCACAACACCTGTAAGAGATAAGGAAGCATGATTTCAGGTACACAAGCAAGGACTGGAGATGCACCCCACCTAACATGAGGTGCTGCTGGCAGGTGACATTGTGCAAGGATCCCCTGATCCCTCCAGAGTTGCAGAAGAAACCCAGGAGCACCACAAGGGGCCATAGCACAGCCGCCCAGCTGCACCACAGGGGCAGGTCAGGCAGCAGGAACATGCACAGGTATTTGTGTAGCTCTAAGAGTATCACCAAGATGCTCTTGGCAGAAGAGATGGCGATTAAACCCACCCTCTGTAGGTGCAGGGAAGTAAACAAAGCAGAGGCCCAGGCAGGGACACCAACACCTCTGCAGGTGTGGGCAAATGCAGGGACAGGGGACCCCAGTGGTGGGAAATGAAGCTTCAGCCATCGCTGCCATTGTCCCTTGCTCGACATAGCTGCTAGACCTGATCAGCCCCTTCCCCCAGAAGGCTGCAATGGGGAGTTGGTCATTGCCCTGCAAAGCAGGTCCTCGAGAAGGCCCCAAGGGCCGGGGTGACTGGAGCAAGGGAGGCTGATTCAAGGGAGTCACTGCAACCTGAGGAGTTTGAAAGTGCTTGAACTAAATGCACCCACTCTGCCGCGCAAACAGCCCCCATCTGTGCCACTAAACACCTCTGCAATGAACATTCCAGGGGGGATGCCAGTCCTCGGCAGCCCCCGGTCTATGGCTTTGGGAAGGGATGTGGTGGTGCAGACCCGAGCTGTGCCGGGAGCCGTGCTAACAGCGTGGCGGTGCAGATGATCACCTTCCAGCGCCCGGAAAAGTTCCTGGAACAATGTAATTTATTCGCATGCCTGTACCTCCGGAGAAGCAGCACTCCCTGCCCTGTGACTGGCCCCGGCCACAGCCAACAGCTACAAAGGCAGGAGGAGAAAAACAACAACAAGAAAACAGAAGCCAAGCTATGCAGCACGGGGGGGGGGGATATTTCCCTGGCCGCCGCGGGTGACCGGCAGAAACCCCCAGAGGAGCTGTAGGTACAACGCAGTGCAGCACGGACAAACAGCCCGGCACGGGACTGCGGACGGTGGCGGTACTGGCGGGGCAGGTCAGCACTCCCAGTCCTGCTCGGGATGTAAACAGGACACCCCACCCCGGCTGATACCGATCAGCTGGACACGGCAGGAGAGGGAAGAGGCCAGCCCCCGCTGCGCCCCGGTCACCTCTGTAGTCACAGGGCAATTGCGAATGGCACAATGCAAGCGATATTGCAAAGAGCAAGAGGACAAGACAGCCTGGGGCACTTCAGCCACAGATTGCAGTGGGGTCTGCTCTCCCTTGCCCACGCTCCGTGCTGGTGACTATTTAACTTTGACACATTAAAAGCGATAGCGACCAAATTCTTCTCAGCACAAAGCACTTATAATTGGGTAATAGCCACGGAGCATCAGTAGCTGGGCTGCCTAATGCCTGAAGGAAAGCACAGGAATTTTCTTCTCCACCCACAGACCCATTATGAAGCTGACAAGGTCCTGCTCCCTGCAATTCCCAGTAATTTTACTGCTGGGCTGCAAGATTTATGACAGCTTTGTCTAATTCTCGTGGTGCAGACAAGAATTGTTACATGCCGACATAACCCAGGTAGCAGCCACAGGTTGTTCTCCACAAATGACTGCGCTCCAGTCAGCTTTGGAAAAGTCCTGGCTTTTGTACAGGGAAATACTAAACAAATGAGAATCGCTTTAAATTCCACCCTCGGGGAAGTCCTGCACATGCCAGAGAACAGGGATCGCTGCTCATCCAGTATTGAAACAGCAGGCAAGCTGAAATCCTTAGAAATCCTTGAATAGCCGGCAGATGATGACATACACTGAGGACATACCATACCTGCCATTTAAGCCCCCTGTGATTTGGAGAAAATCAAACACGCAGCAGTTACATTAGCCGGGAGCAAAGGAGGAGTGACCAGCTGGCACCCTCACCCTTCTCCTTCCAGGACTCTGTTTCCTCTAGCTGTGCAGAGTCCTTTGCTCTTTTGTTTTTTCTCTATAAAAAGTCCAAAATAGAGAGAAAACAAATAGAGCTGAAATAGCAACAAGAGAAAATATCAGCAGGAGTTCCTGTTCACAAGGCTATCCTGGCATTTATCTGGGGCTGTTGACATATTTAATAGCCATCCAGTCTCTGCCAGCTGGATGCCAGCTCCAAGCTGAGATAACTTCTTGCTTTGTGCTACGATTTCACAGAATCACACAGAATCACAGAATCCCAAGGGTTGGAAGGGACCTCAGATCATCTAGTCCAACCCCCCTGCAAGAGCAGGGTAACCTAGAGTACATCACACAGGAACTTGTCCAGGAGGGCCTTGAATATCTCCAATGTAGGAGACTGTGTTAGCAGCATAGCCTGCTCTGGGAGAGAGCTTATCCAAAGCCATACTGAAAAGTAAACCTACATGGCTAATCCCCTACTTTCTCTCACCTGGGGAAGCAAGGATTTTGTTTTTGTGTTGTGCTAAGTAAGGGTTCTTCTCTGAGTGAACTGCAATACTGAAAGCTTGTTGCTTTGCTGGTAAAGAACTTTGAGTGTTACCATGATTTTAGCATAGTTACTGAAATCTTCTGAGTGTTTCTTTGTTATGCTGAAGAAATATTTTTATCTTAATTATCTGTAGTCCATGGAGATATATTAGTGGAAAAGGGCTGGGGAGTAACAGGGCTACAGTCTTCCCTATTTCCCCTCCCCAGTGGTGCTGCAATTGCACCCAGCTTAGTGGCAGCCCGTGTTGGCTTATACTAGGTGCTGCCCAAATAGCAAGGGTTTTCTCCCAAAGACTTCAGGGTCTGATGTCTCCAGGGAGACCAGGGCTTGGGGGAGAAGTATTATCCCCCTTGTCTTGCTTGGAGGATTTTATTTCCCTTCCCTGGCATTACTGCGAAGCAGAGCAGGGCTGGCCTTTCATGACCAGCAGTGGTCCCCTGGTGGGACACCACAATTCTCACTTGCCACAGTCCCGACACAGCCTTTGCAGAAGGTTGGACAACCTGTCCCCTCCACCAGCAGGCCAATCTGACAGCAGCAGACACCACAGGGGCAGAGGCAGAGCCCACTGTGTAACTGCAGGACTTTAGATCGCAGGAAGCACATACGCTAGCACCCAGCCTGGGGTGGTGACAGCTTAGCTACCATGAAACAAGCCTGCTAACAGCCGGGAATATATGGCACTGCAAACTCTGTGGGGTTTAAATCTACATTCTGTTTTCCAGAGCACAGCAGCCATGACAAAACATAAAGTGTGGATTTGGAGCCCACCACAGCCCACTTCTTGCAGACTTGGGGCAGGGGAGAATCCCTCACTGAGAGAGTGCAGAGGTCTGGGAGCCAGCAAGGGTCATCTGTTGCAAACCAGAGGTGCTACAGGTCTTACTTACAGCAGTGGGCTTATCCTAATGACTTACAACCTGCTGAGCACTGACCTCCACTCCAATTATCTCCTTGCTTCTCCCTGAATAAGCATTGTTTTAATAAGAATGAGCCATAAAGGTTACTGACTCATCCTTTCTTCTCCATTTAAGGAAATTAATTGCTCAATTATCTTAAGCATCACATAGCTCAAAAAAAAAAATACAAACCAAAGATTCCTGTCAAGGGATCCACTGTGCTGCCCATTATAAACTGGGAAACAACCTTCAGGTGTCAGTTCCCAGCCAGCACAACATTTGTGTGTGCTGTAATTAGATACTGGTTTTGTTGCTGCACAGTCCTACTGTCATGGTACTTTCCACTGTAAACCCACTTGAACTGTGTGACTTGGCCAGTGATTCTGACTTTTTCTCATCAATGAAATACAACATAAGTTATTTTTGTGAGAGCTGGTGGCTCTGTATGCTTTTTTTTCCCCCTTAATGCTGTCATGCAACAATGACTTTATCAAGCAGAGGGAGGGAAAAACAACAGTGGCCTATTGTAGCATATACTGGGAAAGCATTTTTTCATGGAAGTGGTACACTATAAAATCCATTTTGATTCTGTATCACATTATGTGGCAACAAGAGAGTGAACAAACAGAGATAGCTACCCTTTCTGTGCAAACACACAAAATAACACAGTTAATAGATGTTTCCCTTGACTTTGCCTCCCTCACATTCGCAGCCTTGGAGCCCTCCGGTATCTTTAGCTGCTGATACGGAGACACCTCTAATCAGGACAATTGCGGGTCCCTGTGCCATGCCTGTTCCTTAAACGTTTCAAGGCACTCTCACAGGGGCAGCAGACCTGCTGGGGTACATCTCATGCTGACAGCTATGGCTCTTGGGTGAAAGGGCAGTGCTGGTGCCGAGGTGTGAGCATGGGGTGCTCAGCTTTTGCTGGGTGTCAGGGTGCCATGGCACTTCTCCAAACCTGTGACTGCAAGAAATAGAGACAGGGAAGGAGATGAAGTGGTAATAATGTCTAAATGGAGCTGATTGCTGTAGGCAGAAATGCCCCCACTATGTGTAAGTACTATCCGTGGGCATTGTGAGCTTCTCAGGAGACAGCATTTAAAAATCCCTTTTAAAAAGAGAAGAAAAGTGGCACACATTGGATGGTGGCAAGGAAGAACCTACAGGAGGTCATCAAGTACAGCAAAAATCCTGGAAGTGGGCAAAAAAAGCCAACTGCTCAAAAAACCACCTCTAATAACCCTAGCAAAAGCTGGTACCCAAGGGCTTGAACACTTGAAAGAGCTGAATATCCGTAAGTCTTGTTTTTCTTTCCATTACAAATCATCCAGTCATGTTGCAAAGTGGTGAAAGCCTTCAGTTCATATTTAGTAAGAACTTTCTTTGGTGGATCTGAGTGTGCAGACATGTAAGGGGAACTGAGCAGCAGTCTCAGCACAGGCTGCCCAAAGACTTGTCTTTCCTTACTAAACCTCTGGGTTTAGTAAACAGTGTCACTCCTTGATGTGCACCTTCTTCCACCTCTTCCCCTAGATCACCTCAGACATGACAGCACTCCAAACCACAGCTCCCCAGAGGCAGAAATGGTCTTGTCCCCACCACAACCTGACCCTGCCTGGGTCAGAACCCAGCTCCTGCCTGCAGCCAGCCGGGCGCCAGCTGGGAGCGATGCCAGCAGTGGGAACAGCAGCCTGGCTGGCACCCTGCCGGCCCCGGGCAGCCCAGGGCAGAGCTCAGCTCCTCGGGTTGAGTGCCACAGCAGAGGTCTGCAGGGCAAATTGCAGCATGCTACCTGGCGCTCAGCGGGAGGCATGGATGTGCAGCCATGGGCCTGCAATTTACATTTAAAGAATTCATAAAAATTCCAGGCCACAGAGCTTCGGTGGGGTTTATAACCTTGACATTTTTTTTATCACCCCCTGGCTTGTTTCTTTTCCCCTTTATAACCAAACAAACCCATACAAATTAGTATTTGAAAGTATGCAATTAGCAAGCAGCTCCTGCAGCTATGCAGTTCTCCTGCCACCCGGTTTCCCAATGAGGGGAAATCAACAATAAAGAACAAAGAAAAGAATTTGCTGCCTCATATTAATGACTGCTGTTTGAGGACAGCATTTGTATTTTAAATGAATAGCTTGCTGAGGACAAAAAGGTCAGAACTGCATTTTATGGTAGCGGTAGAATAGCAGGAGGACAGAAGATAGGCGAAAGCTGCGAGCAGACAGGCGGAACAACACGCTCGACTTGCTGGAGAGGCTGGGACCAGCACCTGGCCATGCGTTTCCGAGTCAAAACATGGGCATGGTTCTGCAAGGTGGGAGAACACTCAGTTCCCAGCCAAGTCAATGAGCTCTATGGCACACAGCACGTTTTAAGAATGATCAGCTCAGCCCAGTGATCCCCCCCAAAACCCTTCCCTTCTGCAAATCCATATGGATCCATCTCCTTGCATGTTGAATTCTTTCCCTCAACTCTGATGCCCTGAATGTGCTCTGTCCCCCAAGGTTCTGCCTGTGGATATGCAATACGACCCTGCCAACATCCAGCAAGAAAACCTGTGCCTTCACGTTGAGTGCAGCTCCCTGGGAATGTGCCCTTTACTACCTTAATGTGTTCAAATTGCTAAAGTTAAATCTAAACTGAGAAACCCAAATGAAACCTGGAGCTGGTTGAAGTTATACTGTAAAACTCCAGCCCTTATCCATGGGTACTGATCAATACCTATAGAACTCATCCTGCTGGCTCTTTGATCCTTCAGGATGGGCCAGTATGGGACTATTTTAACCAATGAATTGCATTGAGAATAAAATAGGTGCACCACAAATAATGATAAAGCTAGCCAGAAAGGAGTCAAAGTCTCCAAAAGAGCCCTGGGATCCCTGAGGTGGACGCTCCATCGGGGTACTACATAAGCAGAGCAGTCAGCTTATAGCCAACAAAAGCTGTCAAGAGAAGGAAGAGGGTCCTCCAAGCACAAGGGCTTGTGCCACTGATCTTCCCTTGTGTGGAACAGGCCCATGATCCCAACTGGGCCACCTTTGCTGAGGAGCCTCCTTGCTGCTTTGGGCTGCAGCACTTGGTCTGTGCAGCTTTAGCAAGGACCAGACCATTAGCAAAAGCACACAGGTACGCCACCAGAGAGAGGGTGAAATCTAGCACCTTGCCCACACCATCCCTTTCTATTTCCGAAGAGTTTATTCCCGGCCCTCTCCTCCTCCTCCTTGGGCTCCTTCCCATTGCTGCTGTCACCTTCTGCTCACTGCACATCTCCTGGCTGCTTTTCTGGGTGCCCACAACCAGCAGGGTCCTGGTGTGTTTGCACCCATTTAGGTCCTTCCTCAGAGGACAGATAGCTCTCTTGCCCCAGCCTTGCTGCAGTTCTGCCTCCAGAGTAAAGCTTCTGAGGAAAAAGTAGTCTATGTTAAAGCTGAGTGACTGCTGAGCTCTTATTGACTATAATAAGGCAGAGGATAACATTTCATTAAGTGCGTGTTTCTGCCAGGGTAACAAGCCCTTACCTGCAGTTGTGTGTGAAGCACAAAGGGCCTAAAGGCATCACACCTGAAGGAAAAATTCCAGTCCCTTCAGT